AATACCTTGGATTAGGTCAGGATTTTCATAATTATAATCAAAGAAGCTTTTGTGCTTTCTTCTTGTCTTGTTTTCGGCTAGGACATCGGTTCTCAACGAACTCAAGATTGCATATTTCGTTTGGGCATTCGCAGACTAAACAATTGAATCCGCAACCCTATCAGTGGAGTTATGTCTCGGAGTTTCATCCTCTGGGGGATGGGCATATGCGACTCTGGGGCTGAAGTCTAGCGGATCCCACATACATGGTAAACGAGTGAATAGGCTCTTGGGTGGATCGAAAATAGGTTTCTTTCCCAAAAGTTTTTGTGGTAAAAGTGGGGCCAACAATATGGTTGCATTTTTTAAAGAGTATTTTAAATATACTATTTTATTATTAATTATTAATTATTAATTATTGATTATTAATTATACACATATTTAAATTTTTTTACAAATTGATCCATTTATTTAATATTATTTCAAAAATTGTTTTAACCTATATTTTTCTCTAGATTATTTAGCAAATAACCAATTTTTTTAGTTCAAATGTATTCCTAAATTTGAAAAAACACAATTTGATTTTTTTTTCTTTTAAAATCAGTTAAATTAAAATCAAAATTTACCCTAAATTTTTATCTAGTGAGTTTTTTTATCCAACAATTATGTTATGAAGAAATGATAATTGTGATTGTTTTTTTATATATAAAAAATAGATAATTGTGATTGTGTTGTTTCTAAGTTTTCTATTTAGATTTTTTTGTATTTTTTGTTATTTTATACTAGGTGAGAATTCACGTGTATGCGCAGAATTTTTCTATAATTTTTTTTTCTGGTTTTTGTTAAAAATTTTAAGATTTATAATTTTTTTTTTTTTTTGTTTTGTGTGTTTTTATTTTGTTAAATCATATCTTATATCATGAAAGCTACAGTTTTTAAAAAGAAATATATACAAAGTGGTCACAATAGGACATGCGGAATTTTATTAGACTACTGTATTGCGATGAACTTGCGACTGTTCATTAAAATAAATCCAACAGTTCGTCTTCTTCCTCTGTGAACAACCTTCTGTATTCAGTCTCTTGGGCTCTCTCTTCCTCCGTCCGTGACCGCCGCTCACTCTCTCCCTCCGTTGCCGCCGCCGCTCTCTCACTCCGCCGAATCTTTCTCTCTCCCTCTAACGCAGCTCTCTTTCTCTCTCCCTCCACCGCAGCTCTCTCTCTTCCCCTGTCGCTCAGCTCTGTCTCTCTCTCTCTCCCTCCGCCGCCACCAATCTGTCTGTTGAATCTGTGAGAAAAGTATAAGGATAGGTGAAGATAGATTCTGTATATTCACTTTATCAAACGAATATGAGAAGCATAGCAATTCATCTCGATTCCCTCCGCTGCCGCGGATCTATTCCAAAGATACATTTTCAAATTGTTAGTATTGTAGTTTTAGGTTGTTAGAATTTAGGTGGTTAGATTTTTAGAATAAGATTGATGATTTTTGTAAGATTTCTTGAATTGTTAGATTTGAAATCTTGGTGAAATTATTGTGTGAAATTAGTGGTGAAATTGTTTAATAAATATGGAATATTTTGGTGAAATTGTTGTCAAATTTTAGATTTGAATTTCAGTATATCTTGAGTTTCTTTAATTTTTGCTATTTGGTTTCAGTTATTTAAGATGTTAGATTTTTGTATATTTTTACAATTATTTTGGTTATTATTTTTTTTTGTAAAATGTTAATATCCAATTGTAGAATTTGTTCAAATTAATTGATTTAGATTAGAATTTTTATTTTTGCTTTTTGCAAATTCTAATATTTATATTTAGTTTTGGATATTTTTAAATTTTCTGTTTAACTTTTTTTTATTAATACTTATTTATTTACATATGAATTGTTTTTTCAGATAAAAGAAAATATTTATTCTTAGTTTGCGTTTAAGGCTCTATTTACTCCTCGCGGATCCAGCTTGCAAATGACTTCCAGCGCTATTCCTGAGACGCAATCTGCTCCAGCTGCATCCGCTCCAGCTGCACCTGAAGAGGAACATGCTCATCATTTGTGCGTTCAAGATTTTTTGGAAAGTCTCGATCATGACAGACTCCCACACCTCGTACCAGGCTGTCGGACTGGTAAACTTTGGTATAATGTTTTTCTTTTTTTCAAACATTTTTTTATATTACAATTTATTATATTTTATTTTATATAGTATATAATGTTTTAGGTTTGATGACGGTAGTTGCTTGAGTGGCTCTATCCGTAAGATTTTTGAAAGAGATCTCAAAGAAATGAGTGCCAGTTATACCTTCACTTCGAATGCCACCGTCAAGCGGTAGTATGAACAATTTGCTGTAAGTTTTAAAAAAATTATTTAATTAAATTTCTTATATTTTTATATGTTTGAAACTAATTTTAATATATGTTAATATACAATTTTAGAATTTGTTGAAATTAATTGATTTATATTAGAATTTGTATTTTTGTTTTTTGCAATTTCTAATATTTACATTTAGTTTTTGATATTTTTAAATTTTCTGTTTGATTTTTTTATTAATACTTATTTATTTGTATATGAATTATTTTTTCAGATAACAGAAAATACTTATATTTAGTTTGCATCTGAGGCTATATTTACTCCTCGCGGGTCCAGCTCACAGACGACTTTCAGCGCTATTCCTGAGACCCAATCTGCTCCAGCTGCACCCGCTCCAGCTGCACCCGAAAAGGAACGTGCTCATGATTTGCGTGTTCTAGATTTTTTGGAGAGTCTCGATCGTGATACTCCCACACCTCGTACCAGGTCGTCTAACTAGTAAACTATGGTATAATTTTTTCAAACATTTTTTATATTACAATTTATTATGTTTTATTTTATATAGTATATAATTTTTTAGGTTTGATGACGATAATTGTTTGGGTGGCTTGATCTGTAAGATTTTTGAAAGAGTTCTCAAAGAAACGAGTGCCAATTATACCCTCACTTCGGATGCCACTGTCAAACGGTGGTATGAACAATTTGCTGTAAGTTTTTTATAAAAAAATATTTAATTAAATGTATTATATTTCTTATATATTTGAAACTAATTTTAATATTTTTTTTAAATATTCGATTTGTTTTTTTCAAGCAAAAATATCATTGGTAGTGGGGCATTAATGAGAAAATGAAACAAATGACCAATCAGAGTGGACGGTGGAAGTCGAAGTGGAAAAAGATAGAAGATGATACGAAGCCCGATTGGCTTTGTCCAACAGTCTAGGAAGGTCTTGTTCGACATTGGGAAGACCATGGAAACATTAGGAAGAATTTCAGTTGCCGTAGCGCGTGATACAGTAATCCTGATGGATTATGAATTTCTAAGCATCATTTTGGTCAGACGCCGTTCAAACCCTGAGCTTGAAAAACAGTAAGTTTGTTTTTTATTATTATTTATCTTAATTCAAATTATTTAATATTTGTTTCAAAATTAATATTTTTTTGTAGACTGAAAAAAACAGAACAAATATTCCGGATGGATCTTTTGTAGATAAACATTTGGAAAACCTTTATAATGACGTCACTTCGAAGATGGTGAAGATGACTTAGGATAATCCAGATGATTCAGAGAGTACGGCCTCTGGCGGACTTACGACAACTGAGAAGAAGAAGATCTTTGTTGAGATAAGTGTTATAAAAATTTGGCTATTTTTTTTTGTTTCAATTTATATTTTTAATTTATATTTTATTTTATTTTTTAGGGTGCTCTCTGTAAAAAAAAAAATAATTAGAGTCTACTCTTTGCAATCTCAAATTGACTCTTCAACTGCAATTTCTTCTTCACCATCCTGATCTGAGAGAGAGGCTTTGAAGAAAATTATTAAGTCTCAATCCCGTTTAATTGAGACTTAATTTGAGAGGATGCAGAGCTACGACATCATGTTTGATTACTTGACTGAGAAGGATCCAAAATTTATGGAATTATGAGCCTGTAATATAGAAAGTACAGGAAACTCTTCTCAAAATCAAGACAACGAATCTTAATTATCTATATGTCTTTCATTTTAATTTACTTGTTTTATAATGAATTAAACTTTTAATTTTGTAATGCATCTACTTATTTTTAAATAACAATTTATTTTACTTTACATTTTAATTATAATTATAATTTAAATTAATAAATTTTAATTTTCAATAAATTAAAAATTTATAATTATAATTATAATTATAATTTTGAATTTACATTTTAATCTGCTATGGATCTGCGACGACACATTAGCAGAAATTGCGAGAACTTAACATTTTTATCTACGATGGATTTCCCATGACACCTTCGCAACGCCTTTGCGGCTCTAAGTTTTGCAACATAGTTGCAACCAATATGATTTGCGTCATGTTTATGTTTTCTACAGCTTCCTGATTTACATCATGTTTGGGTCATCTACGGCTTACCACAAAATTTGCGATGAATGTAGTCCGTCACAATGTTTGCGACTAACTAACATGGCTTTTTTCTCCGCCGTAAAGTTTGCAGCGCACCTGCGACGAATTTTGATTTGCGGCTAAGCGATTGTGACATTTTTTGTTTCATCACAAATTTAACGCTGCTGGTCATTTATGACGTGTTTACGACTTGATTTTCAGTCGCAAATCATCTGTTTTCTTGTAGTGTAACAACTATAAGATAGAAATGAAAAAAAGGATAAAAAGAAATAAATCTATCTCCTATATTGCAGTTGAAACGTGACACGAAGGATAAACTAACAGTAAAAGAAAACGTGACACGAAGGATAAACTAACAGTAAAAGAAAATGGATTTGTTATTTTAGCTTCTATATGTGCTTGTATTAACAATTGTGTGAATGCTATTGTATGGAAATATTCAGACATTTGCATTACGGAAAACATTCTTAGCCCGTAAAAGATAGAAATGAAAAAAAAAAGATAAAGAGGAAATAAATCTATCTCCTAAATGTATATGCATCTATAGCAAACTGTCACTGATACCGAGTAAGCCCCTAATACACAGCTCGATTTAAATCTCTTCAAAATGGTGAAGTGAAAGGACTTACAGCCAACCAAATGAATTCCTCCGACGTCAACTTTGCTCAACTCCAAAGCCAACAAAAAGATGTGCTCCCTTCAGAAGGCGACCTCGACCTCCCAATCATCGACCTGAGTGGATTCCTGAACGGAGACGAGGCCGAGACACAGCTTGCAGCTAAGGCTGTAAGAGAAGCGTGCATGTCTATCCAAAGATGAGAAGCTAAAGGCTTACAGGACTCCTGGGAACATCTCTGGCTATACGGCAGGTCATAGCCAAAGATTTTCCTCCAATCTTCCATGGAATGAGACTTTGACTCTGGCATTCAAAAACGGTCCACCTAAAGTCGTTGAGAAATTTCTAACATCAAGGCTAGGCGACGATCGTCAAGGGATCGGGTAAATCTATTGCATCATGCATGCGTACACTTTAGTTGTATTAACGTTAGGAAAATCATAGTTCACATATGAATACATATTATATTGTTTTAAGAGAAATAAATCTCTTTGGAACCTGGTTTTCCAGAAACAAAGAATTCAGTTTACAAGATAAAAAGTGAAGAAAAATGTTATAAAAAAAAGAAGATAAAAAGTGAAAATTAAGAAAGTATTATTTTGAAATAATCTCACATATGTTAAATTTATAACTAGTATAGACGGAAAATAAATCATCTAGTAAATACTGATTTTTTGCCATTTTATGATTATTCAATTTTAAGTTTTTTTGTACTATTGATTTTTTTATTTTATTATTCAACTATTTTGTTGTTTTGCTATTCTGTTATTTTCGTATTGTTGTTATTTTATCAGTTAAGGCCATTGCTTTAAAAAAAAAAAAAGATTCTCTTTCGAATTTGGTTACCTAAAAACAAAAATCATTTTACTTTGCAGTCAAGTGTTCCAAGAATTTTGTGAGGCAATGAACAGCTTGACTTTGGAGCTGATGGAGTTATTGGGAATAAGTATGGGTTTAAAAGACCGGACATATTACCGGAGATTCTTCGAAGATGGAAATGCCATCTTTAGATGCAACTATTATCCGCCGTGTAAGCAACCGGACAAAGCCCTCGGTGTTGGTCCCCATAATGACCCAACGGCTATAACCGTTCTGCTCCAAGACGATGTTGTGGGGTTGGAGGTCTTTGCCGGAGGGAAGTGGCAGACCGTTCGCCCTCGTCCCGGGGCTCTTGTCGTCAACGTTGGAGACACCTTCATGGTACGTTTCTTTTAATGAATAAAGCCACCAAATTTTCACAACAATACGAAAATAATAGATACAAATTTTGTATTTTTTTTTTGAACTTTTGCTAATAGATACAACTTTTTGCAGGATATATTGCTTAAACTTTTTTTTTACTTAAACATCAGTGTTTTGTCAAAGTGGAAAGATAAATCACTTATCAAAACAGAAATGCTATTTTCCCCTTCGGCTGTCACTGGAGGTAAAATTAGAGGAAAAAAAAAAGGAATAAAATAGTAAAAAATGGGAAGTTTACACTTTTGTGTTAGTTTTCCCATAAAATAAAGAGGAAATACTTTTAAACTCCATTTCTATTGATTGGTAGTATTAAGATGAAAAATATTTTTCCACCATTTTTTATAGATAAACATATACAATATACTATATTGAATTAAGTTGTGAGGTATTATACTTTTTGGTATATTGATTTTGAAGTACAATTACAATTTTATGTCATTTGACCACTAATCATATAATTTTTGTTGAAATAATGTGCTATTTTGGATTTGATGTGGAAGGCATTGTCAAATGGAAACTACAAGAGCTGTTTCCACAGGGCAGTGGTTAAAATGGAGAAAGTGAGAAGATCATTGGTGTTCTTCTCTTGTCCTAGAGAAGACAAGCTCATCGTTCCTCCTCCTCAACTTGTGGAAGGCGAAGCTTCTAGAAAGTACCCTGACTTTACTTGGGCCCAGCTCCAGAGATTTACTCAGTCGGGCTATCGAGTGGACAATAACACTCTCCAGAACTTTTCTTCTTGGCTCGCCTCTGATTCTCCAAAAAACTAAGTACTCTTCAACAAGAACTCAACTTGATTTTTCCCTTTTACCAAAAAAAGAAAAAAAACTATATTTGTCCATTTCTGGCTTTTTATCATCAGTTAGAAGCTTCTTAAGTACTGTTACTACATCCATTTTCGTTTAATAAGATATTTTAGAGATTTATCTTTCTTTGATATTAATTGAATTCTTCAACTTATATGTACCATTTAAAGTTTTTTTTTTCTCAAACATAATTATTTTAATCAGATAAAATATAATCACAAGATAACAATACTATTGACTAAAGAAGTAAGGGATTGTAGGAATAATAGTCTAAGTCATTCGGGATTTGGTTCTGGCAAAGTATCTGCAACTCCATCGATATTTCTTGGCACCCATCTGAACTGGACTTCCGCAATTTTTGACCTCCATTGTTTGATGTCCCTCAGCCAATTAACCACTCTGAAATTCAGACATTTCCCTTCAAGAAGATCAAATAATTTCTTACAATCTCCTTCAAAAATGATATGCGTATATCCTTTACTCTAGCTATGTTGCATTGTATGCCTGAAGTTCTCCTTCCAAAGCATTCATAGCTATTGTACCAAGTCCTTGGCCTCCACCAAGATACGTTCCACTACTGTTTCGAAAGACCCAACCCGACTGAGTAGGGACGTTGCCTTCTCTGAAAGACCCATCAAAATTACATTTGATCCAATTTTGTGGTGGGCGTCTCCAATTAATATGATCCTTCCAAGGAATCGGCAATTATCAAGTTGAGAGATGGATAAAGGTGACTGTGAGGCCGTGAGGCCTTGATGATGGATGATGGTTTGAATGATTGATGGTTATCAGCGAAGCTTGCGGAAAGAGCTTCAAGATAACGACTTAAACAACTCTGGATATACACACCAAAGAGTGAGGATTTTGCTGGATATACACACCAACAAGATGGTCTTCTTTAGAAAGGGTTTTTGATTAAAAAGAAAGATAATTTCATCCAGAATACAAAGAGGACTTATAAAGAAGAGAGAAAGAGAAGAAAAACAGAAAAAGAGGTAATTAAGACAAGTCTTGGAACATGCTCCAAGACTAGTCTCGAAAACTAGCAAAATAATTAAAACAGAGTTTGAATTCAAAAATAACTCTTGCACTCCCCTTTGGCCACGAAAATAATAGAGTAGAATAGAATAGAATAGACTAGGATAGAATAGAATAGAATGTGGCCTGGTTGTGATTAACAAAATGGACTATGATGAAGTGAAACATAAGCCTTGTTAAAAACCTTCCTTTGGAAAACCCATTGGGACAAAACCAAAGGTAAGAAAAAAAAACCACCTATGAATCACTTATCCATTTGTTGAATCACTTAGCTTGTATGGAGACCAAGAACGTGTTGATCATGTCTTCATTGTGATTAGTTTGGCTCCAAATGTGTTTAAGTAATCCCCCAATGGCTTGGTTGAATGTCTTGGCTTTAGATCGAGTCATAGGTCCAATTAGCGTCACTAGAGCATCTTCTGCTACAAGCTCTTCCTCAGAATGATATGATTCTCCTAAAAATCGGCACTCTAGAGTTGGTAGAAAATGATAAGCCTTCATTCAACAGACTGTGAAGCCACGAAGAACAAGGAGATGTGGATTGAATGGTGACACAGAAGCTGCGGAAGACTCCTGATTTACCGGCGGATCGATTCTCTGGATATTACGCACCAAAGGGGATCGACAAGCTTGCTGGATATGACGCACCAACAAGGGATGGATAGAATATGGATCGAGAGACGCCACAAAAATCTGTGAAAGGATCTATGATAAGTCTAAACCAGCCATGAACATAGATATGACACACTATGAACATGTAGTTTCAAAAATAACAAGATATCACATCTTGAAAAAGAGAAACATCTCTGATTTTACTGAAAACAAAATTTATTTTTATTCATGATTTTGGGTCTCTATATATAAAGAAATATAACTCAGTTTCGTCTTAAATAAGAGCCTAACATTCACAGCATCTTGAAAAACGAAAATTGGACTCAAATCTGCATGGAGGAGAGAGAAGCAGCCAGAATTAATTGCAGTCTTTGCTTGGACGAAAATCTATTTTCCTTGGTTGTTTTTTTGGGCTGAATTCACTTTGATGGGCTTTTATCATGGAATAAAATCATGGAACTACTCGGTTTGTAGCTTAATTCAATCTGGCCTGGTCGGAATCCTTCAATGACTGCACATAGGTTCGAATCGGGTAAACCGGAAATCACCTGATTTGTAAATTACATAACTCTTTCATCCGAACCCCAATTGATTTGATTCTTCTTCTAGGAGCTCCATGGTTGAGGTGAGCACATTCTCAAAGTGATTTGATGCATTGAATCATCGAGATTGAGCAGATACGCTTCAAACAATACACACATGTCCTGATGCTTTCCAAGATCATATCATATGGTAGATGAGCTTGTAGCTGAGGATCATATTAAGTGCCGATTTCTTGGGAGGATCATATTATGCGCTAGCTGCCATCCTTCTTAGGTACTAGTATTATGTGGTATCAGAGCACACTTTGAAAGTTGAGTTTTCATTTCGATCAATTTTTATCATTTTAATTTATCATCACCATCATCATTTCGCCTGGATCATCATGACTCTTCATCTTCTTTGATTTCTTTTAGATCTGTTGTTTTAAAAGATTTTGTGGAGCTTTTTACTGGTGTTGTTAATTTTCTTATGCAAGGATGGGATCAGATCATGAAGAGGAGTCAAGTAGCCACGGTATCAACAAGCTTTATATGGAAGCTATGTTTGCAAAAATGGAGAAGATGATGAATGAAAAAGTAGAAGCAATCAGAGAAGAAACTCATGCTCAAAGATTAAACCCTAATGAAGAAGCTATACAGTCAGAAGGGGAAAGGTCGCAAAGAGAGCAGAGGAGATATCTTCAAGATGAAGCAGCAGATAACTACTACAGCAACCACAGTGGTTCTTCTCAAAGGAGTCAAAGGGGGAACAGACGTGGCAGAGAAGGAAGAGATCTCTTACAAGCCAATCTAGGAGGTCTTAAGATAAAAACCCCTCCATTCCATGGGAAGAATGATGCTAATGCTTATCTGGACTGGGAAAAGAAGATTGAGTTGGTCTTTAATTATCAGCATTATACAGAGATCAACAGAGTGAAGGTAGCTGCTACAGAGTTTTATGATTATGCTCTCAGTTGGTGGGATACTCTTGTAACCTCAAGGAGACGCAGTGGTGAGTTTCCCATAGAAACATGGTCAGAAATGAAGCGAATTATGAGAAGATGGTTTGTGCCAACTCATTACCACCGTGAGCTGCATTCTAAGCTCAAAAAGCTCACTCAAGGGACCAGATCAGTTGAAGATTACTATCAAGAGCTAGAAACATTGATGCTTAGAGCTGATATTTCTGAAGGCAAGGAAGCAACAATGTCGCGGTTCTTAAGAGGGTTAAACAGAAAAGTGCAAGACAGAGTGGAGATGCAACATTATGAGGAGCTTGAATAAATGTTACACAAAGCAATTCTGGTTGAGCAACAACTTAAGAGAAAGGGATCTTCACGGCCAAGCTATGGAGCTGACTCATCTAGACAGAATTTCTCAAGAGAAAACAAGCAAGCTTTCACTCCAAAGTTTGATTCTAAACCGGCCTCTACACTGCAAGGAAAAGACAAAGGGAAAGAAGAAGGAACAACTTCAAAGGCTCGTGATATCAGGTGTTATAAATGTCAAGGAAGGGGACATTATGCGAATGAGTGCATCAACAGAAATGTCATGATTCTTCTTGACAATGGAGAAATAGAGTCTGAAGAAGAAAAACAAGACAGTGATTTATCTCTTGATGAATATGAAGAGAGACCAGCTAAAGGGATTTGTTAGTGGCCAGAAGAACTCTGAGTATTCAAGGTCAAGCTAAAGAAGAAGAACAGAGGGAAAACTTGTTTCACACAAGGTGCCATGTTCAAGGAAAAGTTTGTAGCCTGATCATTGATGGAGGAAGCTGCACTAATGTAGCAAGTACAACAATGGTTAAGAAACTCGGTTTAAAGGAGAAGAAGCACCCTAGACCATATCAGCTTCAATGGCTCAACAACAGTGGAGAAATGAATGTCAAAAGCCAAGTAACCGTGCATATAACCATTGGAAAGTACGAGGATGAGATTCAGTGTGATGTTTTGCCAATGGAAGCTGGACATATACTTCTGGGAAGACCATGGCAATCAGACAGAAAGGTAATACATGATGGTTTCACTAATCGTCATTCTTTTGTGTTCAAAGCTAGGAAGACCATTCTCATCCCCATGACCCCTCAAGAAATCTATGAAGATCAACTCCAGCTCAAACGCAAAGAAGAAAGGTTACTCAAACAACCTAATTTCTTTATTAAAGCTAGTGATGTTAAGAGAGCTATGTTTTTAAAACAACCTATGCTTCTGTTTGTGATTAAGGAAACTCTTATGAGTTTAACTAACCTTACACCGGTACTGCCGAGTGAAATGAATTCTCTTTTGCAGGACTACAAGGATGTATTCCCTGAGGACAATCCTATAGGCTTGCCTCCCATTCGTGGCATTGAACATCAAATTGACTTTGTACCAGGATCCTCATTGCCCAACCGTCCTGCTTACCGAACTAATCCTGTGGAAACAAAAGAGCTGCAAAGAAAAGTGGACGAGCTCATGGAGAAAGGACATATCAGAGAAAGCATGAGTCCATGTGCTGTTCCAGTTTTACTAGTACCTAAGAAGGATGGCAGCTGGCGCATGTGTGTTGATTGTAGAGCAATCAACAATATCACAGTGAAGTATCGACACCCTATTCCTAGATTAGATGAGTTGCTTGATGAGTTGCATGGTTCTAGCATATTCTCTAAGATTGATTTAAAAAGTGGGTATCATCAAATTATGATGAAAGAGGGTGATGAATGGAAAACTGCTTTTAAGACTAAGCATGGGCTTTATGAGTGGTTAGTGATATACTCATATATTTTGCATATTTAGCATACATTTAGAG